TAGTAACAGGGTTCAACCTCGCCTGCTTAAAGGAGCTGCTCTTAGGAATATGGGCCGAGTACAGGAAGCAATTATACACTTCCGTGAAGCCATACGGCTTGCACCTTGCAGGCTGGATTGCTATGAAGGTGAGTGAAGTGAAGCCACTCGCATGTACAGTATTTACAGTATTGGTTTGGTGTGAAAGTTGCTATAATGATGATTAGGGAAGGCAATAATTCTTTTTTCCTGCTGTCCTTCTAGTAAATAAGTTATTATTACCCAAAAAGCTGTAAAGCTTTGGCAGAATCAGTCAGATGAGGGCTACTAGAGCAAGCCAATAGTTATTTTTTCCTGCTGTCCTTCTAGTAAATAAATTATTATTACCCAAAACACTATAAAGCTCTGGCAGAATCAGTCAGATGAGGGCTACTAGAGAATGCATCTGTTTATAAGAATGATTTTCTAACAGGGCTTTTTTTGTTGTTCTTTTCATTTTGTTTAATCTGGATATAAACAGATTTGAGTGTTCTGAGCAGATCACTTTGGGATGACGACGTTAACTGTGTGGTTGGTTCCACTGGGAGCTTCGTTTTGTCATACTTATTTAAATCTTGTTGATCTTAACAGCAGCTTCAAGTAAATAGTGAGTTGTGAAGAGTCCAGGTGAAATATTAATATCTGAGTACTGGAACTGGGCAAAAATCTTAGATTAGGTGTGCTTAGTTATAGGCTTTTTTTTTTTTAGTATGTGCCTATAAATGAGAGTGATGAAGTCAATTATCTGTAGAATGGATAGGTTAAAATGTATAAAGTCACTTTCTCAGTTGCAATTTGTATTTGCTTTTTGGAGTCTGTGTGCTACTAATTGCAAATAATTGAGGAGGGGTGAGTGTCTGTAGTGCTAACGCAAAAACTGAAATGTTTTCTGTTTTCTGTCCTCAGGTCTCATCGAATGTTACCTGGCATCCAACAGCATTCGTGAAGCCATGGTCATGGCAAATAACGTGTATAAAACTCTGGGAGCAAATGCACAGACACTCACTCTGTTAGCAACAGTCTGTCTGGAAGACCCAGTCACGCAGGAAAAAGCAAAAACTTTATTGGACAAGGCGCTAACGCAAAGACCTGATTACATTAAAGCTGTGGTAAAGAAAGCAGAACTTCTTAGTAAGTTCCTTTTATATTTCTTTCTCAGTGCTGACTTATTTAAAGCGTACTGTTTTACACACAGAGTGTTGTGCAGCTTCATCACTGTGAAGATTGTAACAGTGATGTTATGGCCCAGGGATTTATCAGTTCAATCCTGAAGGAAAATTCACAGGAATTAATTGCATCTTGCAACTGATATTACATAACCACTTAATTGCAAACAAAATGTTTTGACTTCAAAGCACATGTGATCATGAGTGTAGCTGTTACTGCAATGAAAAGCCATCGTTTAGAGTTAATCTTGCAAAAAACGTATCGCTGCGATCCCCCATGGGGACAGTTCTGAAGGAAGAAATAGCCTTGAGCTGACTCTTTGTGTACGCTCTGACTTTTTATAGATGCCTCTAAACTATTAATTAAAACTGTAGTTTTGCACATGAACAGGTAGAGAGCAAAAGTATGAAGATGGAATTGCTTTGCTGAGGAACGCGCTGGCGAATCAGAGTGACTGTGTTCTGCACCGAATACTGGGAGACTTTCTTGTAGCTGTCAACGAGTATCAGGAAGCGATGGACCAGTACAGTATTGCCCTGAGGTAAGGCAGAGGTTCTGAGATTTTGCAGTATATTTATAACAACTTAAGTAAAAGTTGAGCCAGTAATTGATGAGGATGTTCATCAGAGTTAGCTTTCACCCCTAAAAGAAACAAAAACATACAAAGGATATCCTGTTAATGAATTAGTTGGTCAAAAGGCTTTGAAGTGGGAAGTGCAAAATGTAGGGACTGCATTAATGCTAAACACGTCACTAGGCGTGTGATTCCTTGACTAATGAAAGGATTAAGGCATGGATTTATTTATAGTTATTATATAGTCAGGCACCTTAACATCCATTCCTTTAGACTAGAAGGTGCTATAGAAAAATGAGCTATTAAGTAAATTTAAATAGTGTGATTCGATTTAACATAACTTCAATGTTATTTTAGGGTGTTACCATGTTAAATGTTACCATGCTTTGATTTCAAGTTAAATTTACCTTAAGTCTACCACATTTTATGTCCACTGTAAACTTACATAGCTTAAATGGGTCAGCTGGTTTTTCCTTGCATGTAATATATTCAATCACAGTCATTTGAATTTTTACTGCTTTCATGTTACTTTATAATTAGTATTGTCTGGAAGAGTTGACTGAGTTTTCTGGAAGAGTGTGATGTTTAGATAAGCACATTCTTGGGGATCAGAAGTGGTTTATGTAAAGATTTAATACTCAGTTTTATGGTCACCCTGAGGTGAAGTTGCATCATCTACTAAATTGACCTTCATGCTGATGTTAAACAGGAAGTGCAGACAAGATGAGATTTTTTTTTTCTTTTTTCTTTACAATAACATCACAAATGTAAGAAAAAAAAAAAAGTTTCAGGACAATACTTTCTTTTTCTTATTTTTCTTTCTCTTTCTGATTTTCCTCAGTTTGGATCCAAATGATCAGAAGTCACTAGAAGGAATGCAGAAAATGGAAAAAGAGGAAAGTCCAACAGATGCAACCCAGGAAGAAGATGTGGATGATATGGAGGGAAGCGGAGAAGAGGGCGACTTGGAAGGCAGTGACAGTGAAGCTGCTCAGTGGGCAGATCAAGAACAGTGGTTTGGCATGCAGTGATGGCCTCTCATCCCGCTGCTTCGTTTGGCACTTGCACATACAACTAGGGCCATTCTTTGAAGAACATAAACTATTATTTTTGCAGTAACAAAGGACTTTTTTTTTTTTCTTTTCCTTTTTTTTTTTACGAAGTAGACTCTGAAATCGTTTAATAGTTCTGTGCGTCTCAATGCCATGAAGATTCTTGATGCTTCTTATTTATTAAGCGTAAGGGACTAACTGGATTGGAGGTTATTTGCAACTTTCATTTCAAAAAATTCCTGCTAAAACTAAAAGCATTAGAATCTGAAGTGTGTAACAAGCCTGTTGTTTATGATGAAAACAATGTCTAAATTCCATTTAGGACTAAGTGCATTTAATGGATTTGTAAATACAGTGGTTTGTACTCCTTTGTGGAAAAGCTCTGTGTGCTCTCATTTGGGCTCACGCTCCTCTTCAAGTCTGAGGGGTTGCTTGGGTGTGGCTGAAGGCAGCACTTTTCTCGTGCTGTGTTTGTTGAATTAATTTGTCTTTTTAGAAGGCATTACATGTGCTGTAAAGAGGTTTGGTAGGCCAGGCAGCTTTGACTTACAGGCCACTTTTGTAGCTGACTGGTTTCTGTGTGTACAGAATTGAGCCAGTGTTGGAGAATTACAGTAATTTCTTCAATCCTTACTAAACTCTGTAATCACTTAAAGTCTGTAGGTGAACGTTTATTTTTAAATGCAGTTGAGTTTTATTTCAGTATGTTACTAAAAGGTTTTACAGTGGTGACTCAAAGCACTTCACATTCTGTATACAGCACTGACATTTAGAATGATATAAAAAGAATTCATCCCTCTTTGCTTGCATTGCTCTAGAGATGTTAAATTGCACATATTGTTTTGGTTTTTGGAGTCTGTTTTGGTTTTTCTATGTTTACATACCTTTTTTTTTCAGGTAATATTTGAGTTCATGTGTTTTCCCTGACCTTTTGAGGCAAAGTTGTATTGCTTCACCTACCAATTCTTGCCATCAGGGTTTCAAGGGTGAGCTGCTTTGTGTAATCTAGAAACTGTTTCAGTTCTGTGGGCTTGATGTGTGGGAGGAGGAATTAGTTCCTGTTCTTCTTTTTCTTACAGTTCTGATTTCCTTACTTTTTACTAAAACATGCTTTTTTATCTTTCTATTGGCAATTTGATTCCTTTTGTGTTTATTTTGTTATCACAGGTATGCTGCAGCACACAGGCTTTTTATACAGAGCCGAAAAATAGTTTTGAGTATCAGCTGGAGAAAAAATGGCTACTTGAAACAAATCCATGAAGTGGAAACACATGAAGTTCCCCCTAGTTGCAGATGTACAGTGCAGATAAGGGTAAAATGTCTCTCCCTCTGTGATGAACATTATATCAATTAGAAAAATGCACAACAAAAAGAATAGGCAGATTACTTCTATTATAGTCTATTTTGGAAATATTTCAGTATGTCACATCCTAACAAAGGAGAAGTCTAATAGTTTATCCATTTAAAAAAAAAAAAGAAAACAGCTGGGTATCTGTTCTCTCTGGAATTTTTTGGGCTTTAGACTTTGCAGAATATCAAATTGAATTATGGTTATTTGAAGACTGTATGGGATGAATAGAAGAGCACGTGCTGCTGTCTTGGTGATTGAATTGGCATAAGCGGTTACTGCGCTTTCATTAAACAAACACCCCAACTGGCTGCGTTGCAGGCAGAGCAGACGTTTTGTTAATTGCATTCGAGTGCATGAGAGGCCTGATCCTGTCCTTCTTTTATGAAGGATCTGTTTATACCGTTGCTGTGAGGTGCAGTGAATAGATTTCAGCTCGTTGCATGTCTTTCATAACAGAAAGAAGTATATGTGTACAAATAAATTAAAAATATCTCTTTTTAAAAAAAAAAACAACCAAAAAACAAACCAAACAGCTACTTTGTTTTCTCCTCACAGTGCATTCTGCATCTGAAAGCTGGCTAGCTTCCTTAGCTTTCTAGTTGTATTCCAAACCTCTGAATTAAGAATTAAGTTCTTAATGTTACTAAACTAAAGAAAAGATACATTTAACTTTGATGAGAGAACTCTGTGAGGTATGTGATGGATATTTTGCGAGTTCCTCAGCCATTTTCTTCTAATGATTCCTTTAAATAGGTCGTTAATTGCAGATGGAAACCACTGGCTTTACACATTTCTCTGAAACATTTACATAGAACAGGAAACCAGAGAACCACAGTTTCACTAAAACCATTCTGTAGTATGTTTGCAGATAATCTGATAATCTCTCCTTTTAGAACAGAGAGAAAACTACTTCAAGATGAGCGTGCTGTAAAGAAAACATCACTGTGCTTACATGCAGCTTTAGTGAACAAGTCCAGGTACACCTAAGAGCACCTTAAGATAGCTGTCAAAATAGAGTTGTGTCCTCGCTGCTTTGTTCTTCAGAGAACTTGGCTCTTTATTGAAAGCAAAAAGTTCAGGCAGATCCTGCCAAAAATGTAAGTACCTGTTGTATCTGGGTTGTACAGCTTGTGTACAGCCCTTGCTCATAGTTGTACAATGAGTGAGTAGGGAACTTTTAAGATGCCATACATGTTGAGTACCTTTGAGGTTATAGAGATATATTTAGCACAAGCTTCAGAATTCTAGAGGGATTCTTCTTGCCTATTAATGAGCCTTCGTTAGCGCTCTAATTTTAGGATGTGATCTCTGGTTTTGTACTCTCAAATTCAGTTACTGGCATTCTAGTTCAGGGAATATAACAATTAGCCCTTAATAAGCAGCTGACCTCATTCTGTCCCTTAATCATGTGCCGTGCACCTTAGAAGAAAAGATCATAAAGACAAAAGCTGTAAGTTGAGACTGTCAAATCCATGCTGAATGATCCCCAAAATGAAGCAATTTGTAGGGGGAGGCAATAAAGCTGTTGCCATCCAGCTGTATTGTGCAGTGTTGGCACATCTGCACGTGCATCTCTGGGGCTGGGTGAGGGTGGAGTGCCTGGGTTTGCTTGAAATCCTTGACTTTAAATCACAGATGTCATTAGTAAGTTTTTAATTCTTTCCTACTTTGTGAGAAGACAGAAGTGCTGCAAAGGGACAGAATTTCTCCAAACCTTACATAGGCTTGGGTAAGGGCTGAATGACTTAATTCACCAGAGTCCAAAAGCAGCACGTGTTCATCATGTGGCTGGGAATTCTCTGACTGATGCATAGTCCATAGCGAGCGATTTGCCCGTGCTGGTGACATCTGACGTAGTGGCAATATTTCTAATTCTGATTTCCAGATCTTGGGAATCCAAGAATTGTGAAGCAGAGATAATGGCAGGAACTGAGGACTGCTGGCCAGTATAAGTGTTTTCTGTGTAATTGAGGTACTTTTCCCTTTTCTGTTACTGCTGATTTTAGAGAGATTTTTTTATTAACTAGGACTTTTTTTTTTCTCCTCCCCTTTCAGTAACTGTCTTCCTCATCAGGCCTGTTTTTGTCTGGTGATTCTTCCCTCCTTGCTTTTCAGGAGATCAGTGATGTGGAAACTGATCCATCCAGGGCAGAAGCAGGGAGTATTTCTTATTCAGCAAACCTTATTTCCTCACTTAGATCTTAGCTGCAAGGAAATCTCAAAGGCTGTGACTGCCATTGTGATGTCAAGTGACACAAATACACCATAACCAAATATCTCTTAAAAATAACATCTAAATCAGTGCAGTCTTTATAGATCTTAAATCTAGTGGCTTTAGGTGGGCTGAAACTCAGTATAAACCTGTGATTTCAAACTAAATAGCCTTAGGCAGGGTTTAAAGTAGTGTGTTTTGATAATGTGTGCTCAGTACTGCCCTTGAGTAAATCGATACAACTTTATGTGGGACCCAGCAAAACTCAGGTACATTGCAGTCAGCTTTGCTGTAGTTCCTTCATCGAGAGGATTCAGTGTGGGCCTAAGGAATGATTCCCCTGCCTGTTACCTTCCTGTACTGCCAGGGTGACAGTTTGAAAACTAATCCTGTGAACAGATGCCTGAACCTACCTCCATAATATTCCCACTCCTCTCTCATCCTTCTTTTCCTTTTTAACCCTGCAAATATTTTTGCTGCCTTTTCTTTGTTGGTTTGTTTCTTTGTTTGTTTGTTTGGGGTTTTTTTACTATTTTTTTAAATGCTTTATCTATTCACTTCCTGGCCCTGCAAAAGGTTGGTTGGTTTGTGTGTTGAGGAGGAGAGGGCAAGAACTGTAAAGCTGTTGTTAAATTCTGGCCTAAGGCCTTGGTGATAATTAACATGTTTGTGTTGGTCCAGTAACCAGATCTGGCAGGGAAGGGTAACGGGGCAGGAGGAATGCTGGGCTGGGAAGGGGGAGGATGGGGTGACTGCTGCAATTCTTGCTGCTTTCCCAGGACCAGCGGGCTGGTTAAGATGCCATTTGGAAGCCAGGCAAGAGGAGGCAGGGAGATGCCTGGGGCTGGGTGTTTGGGTGGATAAAACTCCCTAAAAATTCTGATGGAAACACAGCTCAGGGAAGATAAAAACATTCATATGGAGGCCTTCAATGTAACAATTTCTATATAGAGTAAAGCCCTTTGGTTAGTCCATATCTATCACTGTTGATGACAACAACAAAGTAGAACATGTTTTCACGTCCTCCCTTGGGCCGTGTGCTCACTTGGTGACCCTTCATGGTTGTGTAATGCTGGGTATGGAATGTGCAGGGGAAGCCTCCGCTGCGGTGGGTCACTGACGGATGTTTACACTGTGAAAACCTCCCTCAACCAGCTTCCCCAGGGAGCCAAGGACTTCGTAAGTTTGGGGATCAGATTCCTTTTCCTCCTTTCTCTTTATCATCTTGTCAAAACACTGCGGCATGCAAACAGAGTGCTGGTTTGGGGATCTAAGAGCAGTACAGTGCCTGACTTTGGAATTTTAAAAAGGACTGAATTTTCTTCATCTGTCCATCCACAGGACCATTTGTTAAAGGACAGCAGGTGCCACCTACTGAGCTGTGCGTCCTGCCTGCCGTGTGTTTGACCAGAGCGTGGTGTGGCAGGGAATGCTGACCTCACATTTGGAATATTGGACACTTCAGCTAGCTCTTTTTCCAGCTGCCAGCTGTGTGTTCCAGAGCGCTGCAAACGTTGTCTAGAAGACAAAGGGGAAGAAAAAAATCCCACGTCCTGAGACTTGGACTTAATATAAATTTCTTAAATATTTACAGAGAACAAAAGGTCCAATTACATTCAAGTTGCTGGACAGACAGCAGCACACTCTGCTTAGCTAATGGGGATTCGGTGCTTTGGAACATCTCCCAGTTGGGCTCCCTGGGCTGGGAGAGTTTAATGGTTGGCAGAAGTGAGCTACTTACGTTGGCAGTTGATCCAAGAACTTGGGTTGAGCTGGTAGCACAAAGGAGCCTGTTCCTGTGCTGGAGAGGCGGCGTGTTGCTCGTGCTTTGCTACAAAGGCCAGTAAGATGCCAGATCTTTCCCTGAACTGTTTAACTCTTTAAACATTTCCTGCGTTTTTGTTGTTCCTGCTTTTTAAATAACGTTTAGTGTATAATATATTGTGCTACTCCTTGACGTGCAGTATGGTTTGATGAGTTGAAGCTGGTAACTTGGCTTCATCCTTTGGAATACTAAATAGTTTTCCAGGAAACGTAAGCACGATGACATCAGCAGAGCAAGAACAGCAACTTGTGGATACGCATCTTCCTCAGCCTGGGCTGTGTGAGCTGCCTCCATATGGGTCTTGAGATAAATGTTTGTCTGTCGGGAAGCCAGTAAAAAGCTGCGATCTGGGACTGAGGAGCTTTTTTTCCTTGTAAAACTTGATGGGATCCTGGTGAGCTGGTGACAGTGGGAATGTGGCATAACCTGAGTTTCTGATTTTCCTGCTAAGTTACATAGTGAAAGTGAGATGGGGGCAATGTTGGTATGGGTTGAATTGTCTCTGTCCATCTGGTGGTCCCATGTGGCCTGGAATGAAGGTACCTGTTTAACTAACAAAGGGAAAGTTTGGCATTACTCTGAAAAACCTCTAGCTCTTGTATTAGCTGAGTTGTAGCTGGCCTGGGTAGCTGTGGGATTCAGGACTTGCTGCTGGCTGGTACAGGGTGTGGAGACAGACTTTAACCTTCCCTCAGCTTGCCAGGACAGCTTTCAAGAGGTAGGGAAGGAGGTGGTGGCTCTGGCTGACCTTTCGGTGTCTGCTCTGTGGAGGACAATGTCACGCTGAAACTCGGCCAATTAGATAAGGCTGGAGGTCAAGAGTTTGCTCCCCTTACAGAAATATTGGGCTCTGAGGAGTTTTAAGGACCTTCCAACCATATTTGAGTTGTTGCAGAAGGGATTTAACCCTTCCTGTGCTGTGCTTTGATTTCTGCTTTTGTTCCTGCTACCTCTATTGCCCGAAAAGGGTGATTAGGGAACAGAGGGGTTTCATCTCCTCTTATGCCAGGAGATTCATTCATCATCTGGCCTTAAATTGGTGTAGAGACATTTACACGTTCCCAGTGCCAACCCAGTGAGGATTGCCCTTCCACTGGGCTGCTAGTGACAGGTAAAAGAGGAAACTAGTAGCTTGGTGGGACACTGCCAGCGGGGCTTTCACTGAGATGGAAGTGTCTTGGTGAAGACTTGACAGACCAAGGCCTGTCACGCCGCTGGTGAGGGGAAGCTCCTAATCCCAGTAAGATCAGAGCATCAACATCTCCATTTTGTGGAATGTTGGATGTTGTTGTAAGTCTTTCAAAGTATATCTGTTGATTAAAAGCCCTTCTGGTTTAGGTAGAGATCTCCCCAATGAGCATGTAGAACCTGATGAAGGTTTAGGGAAGAGTGAAATGCTGAGCTGGTCCTACCATTGCAGCTCTTGAGTAGAAACAAAAAAGCAACTTCAGGAGTTGGAGCAATTTCCGAGAAGAGAGAAGTATCCTGGGAAGTCCCTGTGCCCCAGAGTCAGCGTCAGCTTGAGAAAGGAATTCATGTCTTCAATGTTAGGTGCTTGAATTCCACTTCAACACCTTTATTGGCTTTGTCCTTCAACCCAGACTAAGGGACTGAGCACCTGGTTCCCAGCAAGTGACCGGCAGTAGAAGCCTTCCTCTGGTTCATGGGCTGATGCAGATCTGCTGCTGTGTAGTGCACACCTTCATTCTCCAGGCTGGTTTTGGCATGTCACATACAGCTCTTTGCTGTTTTATTGCAGAACCTGGTTGACACAATGCTGGGATGTGGCTCGAAATGTCGTTGGTGCTGCTCGGGGAGGTTCTGTCGCTCTGGGAGGTGGAGGACTTGTTAAAGCAGGTTCTGGGTGCTTTGGAAACTTGGCCTTGGTTTCTGACAGGCCACCTGTGGTTTGTGTGTCTTGTCTGATGGAGAGGAGATGGAGTTGATGCTGTAGCTGTTTCCTTCTGGTTTTCTTTTTGATCTGTGAGAGGTTTGGGAGCTGTGAGCAGGAGCAGTGTGGGGTTAGGAAAGCAGCCAAATATTTCAGCCTCTCTGGTTGAGGCTGAAATTTCCAGCACCTGATGGCTGGTTTGTGAGCACGGGTGGGTGGCTGTGGCTTGGGGTTCTTGTGCTGTCAGTTCACTGAAGGTGTAAAGCCCCTTGGTGGGATGTCCTGAGAACCTGACAGTGCCCACAAACCAGAGGTTTAGATTTTATAATGGTACAGGATTTGGTTCCCATAACTTATAGCCAGAGGTGAACTGTGGCCACAGCAAAGCAGCCACTGCAAAAATAGGCCTGGAACTGCTGGTTGCAGCATGGTGAGATGATGCGTATTTGGCAGGAATCCCTGGAAAGCTGAAGAGCTTCACCATGAATCGTTGTTGGCGTGGCAGCCCAAGTCTGTCGGGCTATGGACAGTGAGGTTGTTCTTCCAGGAAGGGAAAGGACACACGTTTATGAGTTAAGGGGTAGTGGGACCTTTCCTGCCTGTGGTTTGCCCGCTGCAGGTCAGTCTCACACCTGAACAGAAGGTCTGCATTTGTGCTTAGGTCCTGGCGAAGGGCAGTGACAAGCAAAACTTCTTTTAAGTCACGACTTGTGTCTGGGGTTGTCCTGCCTTGCAAGTGCAAGATCAAAACCCTCCGTGTTTCACAATCCCAGTTGGCTGGCGCTGCGTGACTTGGTTCCGAAGGCGGGAGCTGGCTGCAGTTTGATTGTTGTGAGCCGCTGATGTCATCGTCCCGCAGCAGTGAAGCCATGTTCCTTCCCTGCCTCGGTAGGAAAAAGTGACTCTGCCACCTGCATAAATAGTGAAGATTTGGAGCAGCCTGGGCTGATTGGGTGTTGAGTGTTGGTTGTTCTTTCTGAACTTTCTTTCAGTTAATTATGGTATCCTCGCTGCCTCAAAGAGAAGCTGAGTGAGTGGGACGCACCAGGCAGGGTGGATGTGGGCTCTCATCATACACAAAGTCACCTCGGTGTAAAAACACGGCTGTTTTCTGCCCGCTGTAGTTAGAGTTTGATGGTTTATGTCTTTAATGCCTAATTACTTGAGGTATCAGGAACTGTTTCCATGCTCTGAGGCTGCCCATGGGCTCATCCATGCAACGCCTTAGAGCCAGGGGTTTGCAGTGAGAGGAGGAGGAGGAGGAAGATGAAGCTGTTTCTCTCAGCATCTCTCATCACTTACTCCCGTGCTCGAGTCCCTAGCAACCCACCAAGCATCACGTTTTCTTCTGGCTGTACTCCAAGGTGCTGCGTGCAGTTCCTTTGAGTGAGGAGTGAGGAGTGAAGCTTGCAGATCATAATTTAAAGAAATGTTTAAAAATAAGTTACGAGTTTGGTCTCTGTTTGCTCACCAGGGAGGCGCTGTCTGAACGCAGAGATGCTGAAACCATCCGTGGAATGTAACTTGCTGTGACAACGGGGCAGAAAGGGGGCGAGAGCAGTTTTCTGAATAATGACTTTGTATCATCACTAAGCTTTAGGTTTGGAAAAAGGGGCAGCAGATCAGCTGGGCAGCAGGAGCAACTTCTACATCGAGGTGTTGGTGCAACACACGAGGGTGCAGCTCTGAGAAACTGGACTTCAGCCGTCTGCTGCTGAGAAAGTTGTGAGCTTCATTTTTCCTTTTGTTGCTTCCTAATTAAAGCAAGGGCAGAGGTTATGCTGAGGGCAGAGGGGGCAGTTTCTTCCACTATGCTTTGGACAAATGACTTTTTTCCTTTAGTTGAGGTATCTGTGTAAAGCATTACAGGGACACATGCCCGGCCTTTGGGTGTACTGTCCGCAGTGGCCCAGCTGGGGAGGTTTGCTGGTGACAGTGCTGTTGGCGGGAGCTGCTGACAGGCTATAAATAAGGTGGTGGGAAGAGCTGCAGTTGTAGATAACAGCTGAGTGCTGAGCTCGGTTCTGACAGCCTCAGCCCAGAGGTTAGGAGCAGAGCTCAGCTCGCTGAGAACAACGCTACCATAGTAGGAAGCAGGCAGGAGCAGTTCAGCCCCGTGTATCAACGCATCCGCCACCATCCTGTAGTTCAGCTGAACAGCAGAACGGATCCTGTGTATTTTTAAACCTCCCACTGTTGTGGTTGAAGGGTCTCAGACATGTCACCTCATTTGGATAATGCCGTTTGCTAGCAGCGTGTTGGTATCACGGGGTGGAGGTTAGGAGGTATGACATTTAATCTCAAACCCGTTACTGAAGTTGTATTATTTAGAGGCTCCCCCTCCTCTTACTCCAGACACAACTCAATTTATGGGCTTTGGAGCAGAGTGTTACAGGACACTTTGAATATCCAGTTTTTATCCTGGTGAAACCCTCAACACAGCACTGTGAGCCCATCCCAGGAGCTGCATGTGCTGGGGGAACTGTCCCTGGTTTGGGGAACAGAATAAGCCATCGCGTGTTGTAGCAAACACCCTTGGTTCATCTTCCTTTCTATGGAAGAGGGAAATAGATCAACAACTACTTCAGGTTGGGGCAATTTAGAAAATACAAAAGAACAAAAAAAAAATATAAAGATGGAGTTGGGAAAGAAATGTTTATTTTTAAGTTTCTCAGAGGGATTTTACAAACAATGGAGCATTTTAAAAAAATCTGAGTGATCAAAGTACTTGACAGTGTCCCTTAAACACACACACAAGCCCCTGGACAGAGAAAAAAAAAATCACACCAGCGAGGAGGTCAATACTGCCGGAGAGCAGCTGGCATCTGCATAGTTCTAGGAGGAAAGACTGCAATGGTGGTGGTGCTAGTAAGTGTCATCCTGGCCTTAATATAAGAGAGCGCTGAAGTACGTACGCATGTACCTGCGGAAAACAAAGTGCATCAAATAACACGCAGAGTATGTATTGTAGAATAAATTTATTTACCCGATACAAATGAAACTAGGTGTGATGCTTCTTACTGTCAGCATGTAAATAGACAATTTATTTACAACTTCTAAAGGTCATCATACATGCAGTTGTGGTAACTGGCTAAAAGTCGGTTGTTGCTTTTTAGATAAATGCATCACAATATTTTGTATTGCACCAACATCTGTCTTACTGCCTTAGATTTAAATAAGTTACATTACAGTGCAAAAGAGGTCGATTTGCACACATGATAAAAAAAATCCAAAGTTATGAACTGGAGGCTTAACATTCATCTGTAATCTTTTTTTTTCCTCGATGAATTTTATAAATAGGATCGCATTGTACATAAGCTGTTCGAGAGTAGTATGTTTGGATGATACAATACAGAGAAAGATTCGTCTACAACCAAAGGCATGCATTATTTTGATATTGTACACTGTATAAACTGACATTTTACATACAGAAATATGGAAAATTGGCTGACAGCTCCACAATTCTTGTTCAAGGATAAACAAACTCTTCTCCGTGCAGCACAGAAACCAAACTTCCCTGGAGAGAGTTTCCCATTCGGTAAGCTATATTGCACGTTTGTACGTCTGTATAATGAAGTCCTAATGGTACCACACGTTTCTTCCACAGAGAACACAATGAGTTTTGTTTTAGGGAAAGCAAAGAATCTTTTACACATGATACATGCAGAAGTTTTGGTAGATGTGTTGCTAAAAACACATGCACGCAACAAAACAACCTTACATTTCTGCAAAATTGTTTAGGAAGCGATTACTCCAGTATTGCTGAAAAGGAAAGAAAGAAAAGGCATCAGTTCATGAAAGTATCTTTAGATGAGCAAGACTAAGATCAACAGTGACAGAAGAAAGAATGTTAAGTCTGATAACTGGCTGCTCTGTGGTGGAAGGGACACTCTCAGGTTACTTTGTTCTTAAAGCCCAGAACCCTCTGGATCAGGGCTCAGCTCTCCTCCAGGCAGCAGAGCTCTCTGTCATCAGCAAAGCCAGCACTTCTCCTGCAGGAGACCGCAGTGAGAAAGAATTAAGACATATTTACACAGCTTTTGCCTTTCTCTGCCTGACCAGCAGCAATAGCCAAGTCTCACTGATTTGTAATTTGTACTTTCAGGTTCCACACTACGCAGTTTGAGCTCAATTTTTAAAGAACTTTGAAGAATGCTTTTCTGACCAAGGCATTACATTGCAAGTTTGGCCCCTGAAGTGACCTAACAATGTCCCTTTTCCAAGTGAGGCAGCTTATTCTGGGAAGCAGGAAGAAAGCTTTGAAGAAGTCATTAAACTACACGGATTAATGCGTAGGCAAAGGGTAGAGTACAACGCAATAAAGCTACTACTGTACTTTACCCCTAAAATACAGGGTCAGGTTAAGCCTTGCATCTAGGAGAGAGGAACAGTGTACTCTGATTCCCTAGAACTTGATGGTGGCTCTCCAAAACACTGCTTTCAACACTATAAAATTTAGGTTCTCCTGCTAAGATTTGAAAATGCATATTAATGTAATTAAGGATGTAATTAGCAGAGATTAGGGAAACAGTTAATGGTTAGAAGTGCAAAAAAGTAAACAAGACAGGTGCAAGAGACAGACGACTTTGTATCAGTTTTACCTCCCTTCATCTCAGCAAATTCAACCGTCTTTAAGCTGTTTACCGTGTATACTCTGTGCACGGGCTGTGTTCTTGGCACAGGGACAGAAGACTGCTGTACTGCATTTTATCATCAGATTAAAAACTCATTTTCTTAACATTAGCCTTCTCCAAAATCCTCTCCCTACAAACATAAGCCTCATCATAGCATTTTGACAGACCAGTATATATTTTTCTGCAGCCTCTTTCATACTTATTTATTTGCAATAATATTTTGGGAAACCAAGTATGAACTATTTTTATTGCTTGGATGCCAGCAAAAAGGAGCAGCTCGTTGAGTTGCTCACAGAGTACTTTGAATCACTCGCATTTGAAAGCGGAGAGAGCCTGAGGCACCACAAAGATAAAACCCCCTCTCTAAATATTTGACGTAAGACTGCAGCTGCCTGACCATTTTCTTTGCTCTGATTTGGACCAGGCTACAGAACATGGAATTCAGGAGGAGCTGCTCTCATACCAAACCCCACTGGTTTCCCAGGATAAGCTGATATCCTTCCTGGTGTTCCTAGCTTAAGGTAGCATCGGTCACATGCTTAATACTCATCAATCTCTCACCCTAGAAAATAAGTAGCAATATGTGAGGACACTAAGGAATCCAAAAAACAGCGGAGATGAAAATGTTCAGTGAGAGGAGAGAAAAGGGAAACCAAAAAAGTAGAAAGTTATTTTCTAAAAATGGAGTGGGAGATAAAGCCTGGGGAACTTTGAGTTATTTCTGCTTAAGTAAGTGCTTCTGTTTATGTATTCACAGAGGTAACACAGTACAATAGGAGTTACCTGTTCCTATCCCCAGATAACCCCAGTACAGCTAGAGAGGAAACATGTAGGGAACAAAGAAATTAAGCGAGAGGTTTCAATTCTGAGATGTTGGCAAGTAAATCTGTTCTAAACAGAAGTCTTCTCTTCTTGGCCTCCCCAGATGAAAGGGCTGGTAGCTCAAGAAAGGCAGGATCTACACAACTGAGGATAAATATTTTAGCTAGCACGTTTTCTTGCAGTGCATCACTAACCTTGCACTCTATTTCTCTAATGGACAAGCCAAGCTATCAGCTGCCTGATGCTATTCTAACGCCAGCAAGCACACTCTAGCAACCTCCCACAGCCTACTCAACTGAGATGGGTTAAGACCAGATCCACAGCACTCCAGTTCCAAGATCATGAGGAAGCTTGCCGCAGTGATTTCGGGGCAGGATGCTTCACTGCCTGGGAAGAAGCTCATAGTAGGTCTTAACATGGCCAGTCCAGACCACACAAGGCTGGTATTTACTGTGTAGTGGCAACACTTGGAAAACAGAAGTACTGAAAGCATAACAGCTGCCATTGAACCTGAGATTAGTAAGTGCTGATCACAGGGAACCCTATCACTCCATTTCTACAGGAAAATTTGGACAGCAAGATTGGGAGAAACAAAAGAAAAACAGGGTAGATAAAGATTACTTGGGCTCTTTAGGAGCACCTTACAAAACCTGACTGTTTGCATAACCTCAGGGGTCTGTAGGGATAAATGCCACTGCATTTACCCACCGGTCATCCAGCTTTCAAAGGCAAACTCCAAGGAACACAAGGCCCTAAATACATCTGATACGAGTTCTCCAATGTCAGTATTGAAATCCATGACACATGCCATGAGATTCATCTTCAACAGAGATCCAACAAAGAAGCTGTTGAAGACTGAATTCTACATATCAACAGTCATTTTCCCCTTCAACTTCTTAGAGTCAGGTCAGAAGGGGGTGTGTAGCAGGATTATTTGGTATAATAGACAGGAACAGGATTGTACAAGAAGCAGAGTCATTGATGGTGACACTCAGATACTGAGTTGGCTTTAAAAAGCCCACCAACTTGGTGCTCTGCAGGTTCACGCAGAACCAGCATTTGAAGATTCAGTGGTGTTCCTGTCCTGGAAAAAGAACTAACCTGCTACTATTTGTTTCCAACAAATAAAACACTTGTACAAATTTTGATCTCAAGGAATCCTAAATGACACGGCCTGTTAGAAACAGGGACAAGTCTCCTATTGCTCATGTATTGATACAGCAAATGGCTGGTGCTGGCCACTGGTTCTGCTGTATGCAGAACCTTAGTTTGGCACAGACAGGTTCTTCCACACTAAAGAGGGAGGGCATTCAACAGGATTTAAATATTTACGGCTCAGCAACACATTTACTACATCATCAGGTCCAGCTCCCCTACCTCGGTCACTTCAGCATCAACTTAAACAAGTCAAAGTCTAGATAAACAGTGAGAATTCACAATGCAGAGGAATTTCAGATAGCATCTGTGTATTGAGGTTAGCATCTATATTTGAAAGCCTGAAACCTAGAGAATGATCTGTGCTCACTGGGTCCCAGCTGGCACCAAGAGAACATAGCTTTTAACTATCACTTTCCTCTACGAGGAATCAGAAAGCTGTTTGAATTGGGTTATTAACAGCCTGAGCCAGCACAAGATAACACAGCACCTGCTCCTCGACAAAGACATACTGACCCCAGTACAATTTTCAAAGACTATCCTGTTAAGCTGAGACTGTTCTTTTGTCTTTTCATATGACCGCTGCACAAAGTGTTTCTGCTCCCTGGAAACAAACTTTTACAAAGAGGAGCGCCTGCGCTTTGAACACTGCAGACAGCAGAGACCAGGGAAGGGTGGTCACCTCAGAGGGACATTCCCTATCTCAGAGCAGGGAAAAAAAAAGCTTTGGAGTAAACCAGCACCTGACTACAAGTACCAGAGTGTTTTGGACACTAAACATTCATGTGAACAGCTGTCACTGTCTTAAGTTACAGATCTGTCCAATTTTATCTCAAACTTAAGACCAAAAGCTGTAAGATCTTGGGGCTCTAAGGCCCCTGGGTGCTATAAAACAAGACCTAAAATACACTAAACCAAAAGCAAGTGCTTTGCCTTTGGAATCAGTAATTTGAGCTTCAGACCACAAAACAAAGAGTCTAAAGTGGTGATAATAATGTAGCACAGCAGAGTTTGACAAAACACAGCATGGGAATGAAGGAAATTACTATTTATTCTTCAACATGTATACAGCTATTTTACAGCAAGTCACCACTGGCATGGTGAAATGGAAGAGAAATACTCACTTTAGTCGATGAAAGTTGGAAGGCATTGGAGAAAAACACCACAGTTAGGACTGTTAATGACTTACACATTGTTGATACAGGACTGAATCTGAAAACATGCTTTAACATTTACTGTAATAATGAAGGTGGTTAGTGCCACATTAAAATAAAAATAGTTCTATACAATATGTTCAATTTGGTCATGTGCTATTTACAGATTTTACAAAAAAAAAAAAAAACACACACGAGCTTGTTACTTCAAGTCAGGCTAACAACAGGCCAGCAGAGTAACTCCATGTATACAACTGATCATTAGTGCCCTAAGTGTAGGAAATCCAATTTCTAGCTATGCAGTGCAAGTTATTTTTCCAGGTCTCATTATTAATAAGTTTTCATCTTAAAGGGGGAAGGAAAAAAAAAAAAAAAGGAAAAAAAAAAGAAAAGAAAGGATCTGACACCTGTAAATACGGTATTAAAAACCAACTTAAACTCTCTTTTGGAATTAAACCAGATTGTGTTTGTTAAAAAGGCTTGGTTTGGATTTAATTAGACAGAAGTAGCCCTCCTTATCCCTGCATAATGGGCAACACTGGCAAAATAAGGTCCGATACAATAAAATACAATAGACACTTAAATAAATAATCTTAAAAAAAACAACCCTATGTATGTTGAAAATATGGAAGAACCCCAGCAGGCTGCACCTGGAATGATATTTTCTGCACGAGCAAGATTAGGCATATACCTCATACAGAAACTGGTGTAAACAAGGACAGTCAAGAACCAAGAGTGAGGGAAGAGGTGAAACCGAGAAGAAATCCTGACTGAGGTAGCAGTACTCTCTACCCAGTGCAGAAAGTTCTGCTTATGAATAAAACCTGACTTTATGACAAATTAAGTTTGGATGATCATGCAGAAGACAAACAGTTACATGCTGTTTTAGTTTTAGACAACACACATTCATTCCCTAAAATCTGCTGCCAATTTAGTTTGATAGTGTCCACTTGCTCAAAAAAAAAAAGTACTTTTTTACATCATGTGAATAGACTATTGAACAGAACACTGTACATGCTTTTCATCTACAAAAAAATATTTGCATAAAATAGTGTTAGTTCTCTGTACATGTCAATGGACACTTAAACTGTGTATAAAAGAGGAATATATTGCCCCCACTGAAGTCAGAAAAAGCAAAAAAAAAAACCAAAACCAAATCTAGATTATGAAACCTCCATCACCGGCAAATATGTTCATGTGAAAATTCAGCAGAAATAGACAGTTGCTCTAAACAATAAAAAAATTAAGTTAAACTTTTTCTTTGAATGTAAAACTTGTCACCATGTCAGTCAAGACCAGAACATATCACTAAAGTTAGTGTCTGTGCTGTAAAGCCAGATAACCAAGGGCATAGTAATGAACACAAACGGCCAGGAAACTCCTTCGGTGCATGCTGACAGAGAACACGGCTTGGTGGCAGGCCGCACACTATCTTTACCAGGTTCCAGGTAGTTACGGGCCACATATTTAAGTGTTTCATCCAGCAGAATGACAGGTAGTGAGATTTTCAACACCATCAGCCATTGTGTCACATTCAAAGGTGTGATCTGGAAGATAATCTGAAAGAAAAGCCAAGCATTACATCTTTTCTCCTCCTCCATCTCTTGCCTTAAGCTCCAGACAAGTTTCATCTCTATCTTCACGTGCAGGGATGGGTGTAAGGTAACGAGCACTTACTGGCAACGGTTCCACATAAAGGATAAGGAAGTGGAGTGACATGGACAAGCAAATGGCGCCCACCAGCCAGATATTTTCCCATGGGGGCATCCTCATCAAGGATTGATTTTCTGATAGACTGCAACAGAAACACGGTACATACGTGTACGTAAGACACTGATAGAAAATTCAATAAATCAGAAGACTAGCTGGAAAGAAAAGCAGCATGGCAAGGCACAGTTATCCCAGCCATGAAGGAAAGAGAGATACCAAGATATAGTTTATATCCAGGCTGCAACTTTAAACTACCTTGGAAGTCTGCTTAGCACAGCAGTCACAGTTCAGCCTCACATTTATTTTTGAAAGCTTTTGTGTGTTCTGCTCATTCCTGATCTAGTTTTTGCTAAGACCCTGACATCCTCTCCATGGGAGGTGGAAGGGAAAGCTGGGCATGGCAGTGTAAGACAGAATCCTCCCCAGTCTCTTGTCTGCCTGGGGACCTAGTGCACCTGCTTCTTCTGAAGTTCACTTAAAGACTGGATATACAGAGGGTTAAATAATTGCACCTTCTTAATGCCTCTTTTAATTCTGCTCTTCAGACTGAACCTGCATTTAGGCTACGCTGCAGAAGAGGCTGAGATCTAGAACATCCTATATAGAACAGTATCTCACTATGTAGGACTACTGCAGTACACTTGTATTTAAAGCTTATTTGTTTTTAAATTAACTGACCTCTAAGCTATTTGAAGAAAAATACCCTTGACATTGTGCTATTTAGTAGTTTCCATTTATAATCTAATATTAATTGGCCAAAGCCATACTCCCTTAGGGCAGGAAAAATTATTTTCCATATCTTCAGCATTCTTATTTTAGTTCTCCTTGATATCACTTTATACCAACATAGGAGGGATAATCTGATTGATTAAGCTTAGATTAGAAATAATGGAAAATATTTCAATTGCTCATGCTTAGTAAAATACCAGAGTGATTTGGCAGACTTAAAAATATACCTTATGATGAGAGATCTCAAATGTTATCTACGAGAGTTTTGTTTGCACTACCAGGATTCAGAAAGGAAATACGACTCATTCTTCATTAGTTGAGCTGTCCATGCACTAAGAATCAAATTGCACAAAAGGCAGGATTTTGGCTCAGAGACACAGAAACTTTGCTTCCCTGTTTGGATGTACAAACCTGTTGAGAGCATTGCACATCTCTATGGTGACAAGTACAGAAAGAGCCATTGTCATTGGATATGGAGACTCAAAAACCACACAGTCCACACCAGAGAAGTCTGGATTGTCCTCTTTGCACTGCAGAAAATGGCTCTAGAACAGAACAATGTGAACTCACTTCCAGAGCTTGTTAACTTTTAAAATGTAAAACAGGCAGTTATGAAATAAGCAACAAGTATTACGAAAACAAAGCTTTCTAATAACTCCTATAAGCACTGGTTTTAAATTTTTTCCAGCTTTAGAAAAATCCCCATTAGTCTTTGACCTGTAAGACAACAATTAGTCCTTCAAATTGTTTAGAAGCTCAGGTATCCCTCCTTTGAGCTTTAGTAATAAGACTAATTAATAATGATCAGGTTTTACAGTAACGAATGTGAAAACATCTCATTATATAAATTTCTGTAACCTACTGTTTTTCTACAGTCACTTCAAGTAACAATATGAAAGAAGCATGTACCTCCCTCTCTCCCCCCAAAAATATTAAACTGAGCAAATACCAGCTGATAAAAGGAAACTCTTGGACCACCATCAGCAGCGATAAACCACCAAGCAGCAGCACCCACTGTGGCAGCACCAACATAACCTTAAAGAAAACAAAGTGGTGTGAACTGTATGCACAGGAAGATCTTGCTTCCCACACTTGAACTTCCACCTCAAGACCTGTGGTACTGTAAAAAAAGGAAAGAAACTTAGGCATGAAAGTGGCAGGTTAGATACATGGCAGTGTCACTTCAGATACAGAAGTAGTTCTATGTACAACCTCAACAGCTAATGCAGGTGTGTGGCTGGTCTTAGCTCTTCACTCCCAACCTCACAACATGCCTGTCTTCCTAAGGCTGACAGTTACTGCGTGGAGAAATAACTGTCTAGTTTTTTTTGTCTAGTTTTTTTACTGTCTAGTAAAAATCTGTCTCAGTGCTTTGAGCTGAAAGTATTTCAGCCTGGAATGAGTCAAATGGGAGAAGTCAATCAGGTGGCTTCTTGAGAACTGAGGTCAGACTCAGCCCTAAGTTCAGCTCTTTTGAGGACTGTAACACCATCCACTATCAAACAATTTTGAAAGTCTAATCCAGTATGGCAGTTACAAAAATTCTTATGGTTTCCTAGTTGTCACAAGATTCTGAAGAAGTGGTGAATGTCATACTGATGTTATGCAACTAGGGTTTTTGGTACCTCAGTTGCTACTAATGAGGAGGGGGGAAATCCCAACTTTACTGTCCCTATCACAGCACTGCCTGCAAATGTGCAAAACAAAGTGTGAATCTCAAAACAAAATAAAGGAATAACACCAGTTCCACAGAACATCTATTGCTAGCTTTCCAGGTTTCAGCATACAAGGAGATTAGCAAACTGTTTTCAAGTGGATCTCAAAAAATTACTTAAGTTTACTTTAAAAGAAAAAGCTATTACTACTTACATCCAATAGCAAGGTAACGGAAGAAGAGCCATCCGCTGATCAGAGGCTCTTTAGGGTTGCGTGGTGGCTTATTCATGATATCAAGATCAGGAGGATTAAAGCCCAGAGCAGTAGCAGGCAGACCATCCGTCACCAGGTTTACCCATAACAGTTGGACAGGAATTAGAGCTTCAGGAAAACCCAGGGCAGCAGTCAGGAAGATGCTATAAAAACAAACCCCACCAATTATAAGCTTATTCTTGTGCATGTAAATAAGACCTTTTAATGCCTAAGCCTGTAGCATCATTTCTTTTCTCTCACACAGAGTTATCCATTTAATATCACAAGGTGAATATTCACATTCAGAGAACTAAAAATACATCCAAGAGCAAACATTTCTAACCAGTGGCATGTAAGCTTCGAAGCATTGTTGTCTTTTGGTAACTTCAGGAATTGAAGAGTTTCTGCTTTCACCATGTTTTTTCCCCCACTCTACTTGTCTGTATAGGTAAATAAACATATACACATGCATAAAGGCCTGCAGGCCACTTTCTAAAACACACTAAAACTTCATAGCATTTTAGCTGAAATAACTGAGCTTCATCGAGCTAGATTACTGCTCGTCCCTGCAAAAATTCAACGAGCATGTAACTTCCATGGCTCCAAGCTCATGTGATAAACAGAACAGAAACGAGGCTGCGGCAAGAACCACAGGAACGACAGCTTTAAGGGTTACAAGAAACAAGGCAAGACAATTGCTGTGTTATATTCCACTCTGGGAGAAAATATGCTTTGATATAAGCAACTGTTAGGAGATCAATACTGACATTCTGTTACCAGAAATGCATTCTGTGGCATTGGTCACCATTCCTTCCAAAGACACAGAAGAAACGTTCTTCTGTAACTCGAGGTTAAACAAACATCTAAGTTACGTCTGCGACTAAGTCATCTGAAATATGAGATCTTGTAATATTTGATTTAGGTTTTTATTTTCCTATTCTAGAAAATTATTCCAATCATAGAAATAATTGTAAAGCATTCAGCCACCTACTGACCTAGAATATTACATGCAATGCAGTGTGAATCTTTTGCAGTATGCCAAAATTCTCCAGCAAAGACTAGGCTAGAAGTATGCTGAGTTCCACACAATCACAACAATCAATTACCTGGAGAACCTGTTTCTCTGGTTTTAGTGAGAAATACTGGAAGTAAATAAATAACTAAAGACTCCATCATCACTACTCTAGTTCACAGAAGAAAAACAAAACCAAAAACATTTTAGACCTACCAAACAACTTCTCCAACATTGGAGGAGATCAAGTAACGGATGAACTGTTTCATGTTGTTATAAATTGCACGTCCTTCTTCCACAGCAGCTACAATAGTTGAGAAATTGTCATCTGCTAGAACCATTTCAGAAGCAGTTTTAGCCACTGCAGTACCAGAACCCATAGCAATTCCAATTTCTGCTTTCTTCAATGCAGGGGCATCATTGACACCATCACCAGTCTAAAACAAGAATTTAAGTTAAAAAAAAAAACCCAAACCCCAAAAGGTAGGCACTTACATACAGGACCAGAAAATAATTTTGTACTGGTATAGCTTTGAATCTTTAAAAATCACTGAAGTGCAAAACTATTCTGAGGCTCTGAGTTCAGGAAAATGTGGAAGCAAGTGTTTTCCAGAATGAGGCATTACTCTGAAAAGGTATCATTTGTGTTTAAACACAGCGTGTGCCTTTCAAACCAAGTAAAAGTTCAATTACTTACCATAGCTGTAATCTCATCAAAAGACTGAAGAAACTCAACAATTTTAGATTTGTGGGAAGGCTCTACACGAGCAAAGCAACGGGCATGGTGGCAAGCATCTCTCTGGGCAGCAAGCGAGAGTTCGTCAAATTCACGACCAGTAAAAGCTTTTGTAGAAACATCTTCATCTTCCACAAAAATACCGATGCGACGGCAAATGGCTACTGCTGTGCCTTTGTTATCACCAGTGATCATAATAACTCTAATACCAGCCTGTTTGCACAGCTTTATAGATGAAGCTACTTCAATTCTTGGGGGATCCAGCATACCCACACAGCCCACAAAGGTCAAGTTGGTCTGAAAGAAGACAGCACCAAGTTTTAGTGCAAGATCCTGTAGACTTCTCATTTAACATTAACAAAACAATTTTGCTTGCATGCTTGCTATCTCTCAGCGTAGTGCTTTTTGTTTTTACTCCTTGTGCACAATATCTGGTGGTTCTACACTAAGCAATTAGGACACTGAGGCCTATATCATCCTGCCATTTGGTCAAAACCAGTGTGTGATGAGTGATATACTCGCTCTTATGTCAGGGTTTTTTTTTTCCTGAAAGGGCTACTTGAGAGAGGTTCTGTTTCACCACACTAACTAAGCCTTCACAGCACTTTGGCTCTGACATGGAATTCAGACAGCTGGAGGAGAACGGAAAAGTCACTAATTTATACACACATTAACAAGTAAGAGGAGGTAAATAAGAATTTAATGCTTTTGGAATCATAACGCTACATGGTACCACCTACATGATGAGCATGTGGGAGGACACAGTTAATTCCCAGAGCACGGCCACACTCTGAAATGGGATCTGACCTTTCCAGACATACCTTGCTTCAAATGCACTCGTTTTGTTAGTTAAAATGTGCTCTCGTTGTTCAGCCTTGCAAATGCAACCTGCAAGCAGTCAAGTCTTTCTTGTAATCAGTGCCAGGAGCACAGAGCACAAGCCAAAAGCTCTCATGCAAGCGTTGTCATTCCCCACCCCCCCAAAAATCCTAGATACAGATTTCATTGGAAAATTACAAAGTAACTAAGATGATAATCAGGGATGGAGCTTTTGCAGCTGACAAGATGGAGGCAGGGAAGCGAACTTGACTCTCAGAGCACAAAATAGCAGAGCACAAAATCCCCAAAGAGGTCCTGCAGTTGAGCAATGTCAAACTGAAAACCATTAAAGCCGAAACCACAATGCAATTTTTGGAATATTTTTTAGAGTCTGTCTCTGAGAACAGTTTAACGTGTTATAATCCTGAGGACCTTATGTATATACATCTAATAATATAATTTGCAGCTGTTTAATTTATGTCATCTTACACTTTTACCCAAGCAGCAGCATGTATACCAGCATTCAACAACAGTTTCTTCAAAGACACATACAGTCTCTTTCTAAACTGAGCATTCCCTCTACATATGTGGCTAATTTTTGTGTCTGACATCAAAAATACCCAGAAAGAGAAAATTCTCAGACCTAACTTCCTCAAGAAACAATCAAACATACAGAGTCACCATTCTCCAGTTTGGTAGAAGAAGTCTTAAAATGATATTTTACTAAACTTACCTCATAGTTAATGAAATTTGAGGAGTCCTCAAGATTCATTTCCTCTTTCCTGGGTGGATTGTCATGGGTCGCCAGAGCCAAGCAACGCAACGTATCTCTCCCAGTTCCCCATTCTCTAATGACAGACATTATTTTCTGCTTAATCCCTGAGGTTAATGGTATTTTAGCATTTCCAACACGGACATGTGTACATCTGTCAATTACACCTTCTGGAGCACCCTGCAGAGCAGGAAAATAAATAAATAAATAAAATTTAGCTTAATAAATCCCTTTCCATTACAACATTTGCTCACATTACAGAATCCTCCCTTCATGTTCAAGCTACAGTCAGTTCTGCCATGATTTTTTAGTACTGTGCTACCTTTGCAGCCATTCAATAACTACACTTTCTTCAAGTGAGGAACTGACCTTAACAAACATCTTACTCATGGATGTGCGGCTTGGTTTGTTCGGTGTACAATAGACAGACATAGACTTTCTGTCTCTCGAGAATTCCAGAGTGAATTCTTTCTTCATGAGTTGTTTTATCACCTTATAAAAAACAATAGCATAAAAATGCATTTAGATAATACATCCTACAGAATTCACTCCCTAATGAATTCCAGACAAAGGAATACTGACCGAGTTGCAAGCATTTGCACGTTCAATTCTAGAAAGTCCTTTCAAGTCCGTGTCAAATACATTCATCTTTTCAACCAGACAGGTAAGTGCTGTTTCTGTGGCTTCACCAACTTTTTCATATACTCCCTTAGCCTTTAGTTAACACAAAGCAAACAAAAAACACAGGAGTTTATTTTAAATCTCACCTAGAACTTTACTAGAGACAAAAGCTCAAGTTTCATCATGGAAAAAAAAAGCTTAACAAGACTTACCATGGCTTATGAAACAAGCAAAACTACTTTTAAAAAGCAGCTTGGAAGAGGATGATTTGTAGGAAATTTCAACCTTTACTCTTAAGACCAGCAGAGAAAGGTGTCAGTATTTTATCACCAAGCATTTAAGTCATTATGAGATGCAGCTATCTTAAGCAAGGCAAAGCAAGAAAGTAGCAGCGTATTCTACACACCAGGAGATCTCTAAGTTCCAGATTGCACTTGCTGCCTGGCTTTCGTTTTCTCAGTGTTCAACAAACAAGTAATTCCCAGAATTAATACTTAAGAGGACCTAAATACTCTCCCCCTTGACTAGAGAGGGATTTACCACTGAAAGGTACTACACAGACAGTTGAGAACAAACATTTCCCCTCATTCTCACACTCTGCTCTGTTCTAGGATATGTACTTACTTCATTGTAATCCAAAGAGGAATCATTACAGAGCGCACAGATCGTTGCAAGTTCCACAAGGCCATCATACTGGCTACATTTAATAAGTTTGTCATCTTTATGCCTTTCCAAAGGAAGAAAATGGGGAGATTTAAGTTAGTTATTTAGTATTAGCATCTCATCTTTTCCCCTTCTTTAATCCCTTTACTGTATTTCCATTTAGTACAATGCTTATTAGTTATGAACTTGGAACTACAGAACCAGAAATTGTTGAGAAGGTTTGATAAAGGCGAGTTCTGAAGTTTAGATCAAAGAGTCACAAACAGAATGACATGATTATCCATGAAAACACTGCCTGAAGTACAAAATCTTACTTCCTCTGGTGATAATCATACAGCAATGTAAAAGAGAAGAGCTCAGTGAAGAGGCAAACAAGAGCAGTATTAGACTGTGCGTAGGACTTGGAAGGGAGTTTCAAGTAGGAAAGGGATAGTTGGTGGATACCTTCAGAGTTCAGCTTCCTCAGCCTTACTGCATATGCTGCAGATTTACTGCCACGCATGAAAGTAGATTTGGCCTTTTTAATTCCTAAAAATAAATCTGTACTATATGTGAACCTCCTAAACCAACTAAGAGCTAAGTCATTTCATAATATATATTCCACCAGAAAAGAAATATTCTTTTTCTAGTACTCCTATACACTTAATGAAGAATATCTGTAGTCTTTAGAAACAGGGAAGGTACATTTTCCTGCAGTAATGCACCATTTAGACATCACAAATAAGAAGCCATTTCTTTGCTTTCACATTTGGAAATAGTTAGTAAATGAATTCATTTTCTGGAACATTAGCATACTTGTAGGGTAAGCATAAAAGAACCCAGTCAGTCAGTGTTCAATACTGTTATTTCCCCCCCTACCAAAATTAGCACAACATAACTCATATCTAACACCTTTCATTAAAGCTCTCAAGAAGGGAAAAAAGTTCTGGTGGTAGAAAGACGTGGATCACTTCTCTGTAAGAATTCATAACCTAGACTATGACGTCTCCAATTATGTAAGCTTTTGTTCAGTCTGTGGTAGCACTGCAAACAAATCCCAGTGTTGTATAACACAGCATGTGAACAAAATGCATCTTGAAAAAACAAGTATGTTTTTAAAGTTTCATTTTGCATTTAATTCTACAGCCGTAAGCAGTGGCTTTAAACTCTCAACTCTTCAAATTCCCCAGCACCTCTCGGTTTGTCACCTCATTTATCACAGCTAATCTTCCTGCTTTCACCTGTGCTGAACTTTAAGAAAACAGGCTTATTTGAATATTCCTAACTTTTATACCAGAGGGGTTTTTTTCCCCCTTGCCTGTGTGTTCCTTATCAACAACTTCTGAAGAATGGCAAGTGCAAATGGAGTGTAAGTTGCAGGGGTCAGTTCTGGATAAGATGTTTTGTGGGGGGGGGTTTTTTTGTTGTTGTTTTGGTTTTTTCTTCAAACTTCAGGCTTTTTGATTAGCTAAAGATGAACTCATTTGAAGGTCAAGTGCTGTCTGCTAGCTTTTGACACAGTTCTAAATTACTGTTAGTTTTATGCTCCCAGTTTACAAGTAAGCATGCACACTACATGTGCCAAGACCCAACAAAACTACTCCAAACTGTTTGACAATCTCCTAACATCTCTGGGAAATCAGTCAGGATGAAATTTTAGTTTTTCAGTATGAAGTATCTATAAATTTATATTCTGAACGCATTTTAGTGGAAAGTTATGTATCAAATACTTTTAAGAGTAAGTGAAAAAAATACTGATTTATTGCAAAACCACTTAATGGTTATGAAATAGAGTAGGCTGCCTACAGAGCTGTGGAGGACACCAGCATCTGAAGTTAAGTACAACAAAAGCATCTGTCAGGAATGGGTCACACATCACAACAGTCCTGCTCTGGGGCAGTGCAATGGACTACACTGCCTCTTAAGGTCACCACCAAACTGTGTTTTCAGTGACAGTCTGCAGTCCAAGGTGAAGTCAGTCACTTCCCTTAAAATCCTTACAAAGCCACTGATTTTAAAAAAGCTGTCCATAAACGCAGAACTAAATCTGCCCTAAAGGTTTGAGAATTTAGCTATTTGTTTCCTTATGCTCCAATAACAGCCTTTCTGGGGTAATTTCCCTTTCACAGAATGTTCTTTACGTATGTGAATGCAGTGCTATTAACATGCTTGGGCACATTTCCCCAATTTCAGCAAGTGAAAATGGAACATAAACATACACTGATGGCTGTCCTATTACACTCGACATCTGTCATCACACTGGATTTTATTATTCTGTTTATCTAGACCTCTTGTGAGACCAGCTAAAGCATAATAGCTAGATGCTTTACAAGATCTAGAATGTCACCTTGCCTAAGTAAATGCAGCCTCTTGAAATGAAAGTGTAAGCTTTTGACAGCAATTAGCTTTGAAACAAAAGAGAATTGGGGAATTAAGCTTTCCCAGCTGCTGAGAACACCACGGTCTTAACTGCTATGAAAATTAAACTGAGATAATCACTATTGAGATCAGTGAAGATTTCATGGAGTCAGAGGCACACATGTGAAACTTCACAGGGTTGAGATGTTTACAATAATTGAATCTTAACTCTACTACATACATAGTAGAATTCCATTCTGCAAGTAAAAGTGAAGTGATAAGATTAAGAACACATAAAAGACTGGCCAAGTAAAAGGAGCTGCAACAATTCAGGAAGAAGAGGCTCTCCTAGAAGCAGAGCCCTAAAAATTCCTGAAGTTGTCAGGATGAACCACCTATCCCACTAGTAGAGACTTGCAACTGATAAAGTAAACCAAACATATCCTTCCTTTCCTAAAGGAGTGGGTTTAACACCAGCTCAAATTCCAAACACTGACACAAACACACACATCTATTCAAATAGAGATGCACTGAGTCAAATAAACTACTGAGGGAAGGGGATAGGAATTTACAGTAAGTTTAGGAATTTAACTCCAACGCATTAGTAAGATGCTTTAGAAGTCTCCTACCTTCTCAGAGGCAGGGGAATTGGAAACATTGAGCTTACAGATTAACAGAGGCTCATCTGTTGAGACTCATGCAGGTTTTTTAAAATAAAAAAGCAAACCTCATTTTGAAGCACTGCAATATCTAATCTCAATCAACTAAGATTCCAGTAAAATAAATCCTCTCAACCTACCCCCAGTTTATTTGTAGATTATCAAAGGAACACTGCAATGTTGGAGACTGTATTAAGCAAGTTTAATGAAGGTTTACTTGTCTAGAATTTAACTTCCTTTTACTGTTAATTACTTTCCCCGCTAACCCTTCAGTGTACATTCTCACTGGTTGAGCTTTCATTTATTATCAATATTGAATATGACACGCATCACTTTTCAAGCCCATGGTAATAGTCAGTGCATAAACAGACAAATATTTAACTTCAACAGAACACTTACACTTCTCCCATGGGAGCATAGGTTGAACCAGTCACAGTAAATTCATTCAGAGAACAGCTATCTCCTTCTACTCTGTCCAGGATAAACATCTGAAAATAGAGTTAGAAGTGTTACCACCTTTGAACAATAATTAATGCAAGAAATTTAAACAAGCCTTAAGCAAGCAGGTACAAGAGGTAAGTTCAGCTTGAATAAACAAACTAGACAAAACCAGATACAATACTCTGCACTTCGATCCCATATATGTTTGAACAGCTCCCTATACTGAAGCACGAAGTACAGAAAACAGCACTTCTGCTTAACAGGTTTCATTTGAAAACTGAATTGTGGCACAAGTACACCAAAGAGTTGAAAAAAAAAACCAAACCCAAACCCACATAAACTATGTATACTTAACTTCAGTTGTGAAGACTACTCACACGTGCACTTGACAATCTTGACTATACCCAAGCTCTTCCTAGGCTTCAGACTTGTAAATTAATTCTCATGTGTCTTTTTGAGACAGCAGTTCCCATCAAAAGCAGCATGGGGCAGCTTGGAAACTGACAATTCTTGCCAAACTACAAACAAAAGCTTCTAGATCTAAGAGGCAAGGTTTTAGACAAGAGCCAGACTACGGCCAGTTTCCCTTAATACCAGCCGCTAAGTGAAAGTGTTTCCTGTCCTGGTTTTCCAGTTTTCAGTCACTTTACCATCCAGTAAAGTAGCTTAAAACCAGACAGCTCAAGTGCCCTTCTAACACAGGCTGAAATGTTATTTTCAAATAAAGACATCAGTCTGAAGGATGCAGTTGTACCCTGTAAGACACCTGCACCTCAGACTTCCCTTTGTTTCTGTTTCCTCTCTAGGAGAGCTGCAGGCAGAACCACATCTGGGAAGATGGAGATAAACACAGTGCCTGAAGCTGTCATAAACTTATGACTTGCTGGAGTGGTAGTAGAGAAGAAAATACTATCAATTAGTGAGAAATTTTATCTTAATAGAACTTCTCACCCATTGGGCAGTATAAACCATTTTGCCATACCACAGTTCAGCAACGTCTTACTTCCCCCTCATTGCGCTGCCTCATGCTTTAGGCAAGCACCTTCAAAATAGAGTCTAATAATTAGTTGTTCTGCAACTGATCTGCACTGATGTCTTGAGACATTAGTGCTTTTAGAAAAAGAAAAAAAAAAAAATCAAAAAGCTAGCCAAGCTGATAAATTAAAAGCCCACAAAGCAGAATAAGTGCATTATCAGAGGGATACACATCAGGAGGACCTTAAAACAATCACTCAAGTATCCTCCTAAAGGAGTATAATTTGACTGAAACGTTTTAGTACAGGGTTCCTTTGGACACTCAGGAGTTACTACTTAACACAAAAACTAGAACTACAAGTGGAATTACTATTGTAAACCAGTCTTCTTAAAAAGCTAAGCAATCTCTCAGAGTGAAACCTAGAATAAGCGTATTGTTTATAGGTGTAAGGATTTTGCTATGTCTTGCAATTAAGGTTATTCTGTAGCTGTCAGAGGTTAACAAGGAACCAACTAAGTTGTACTGCACGAGATCTAAAACATTTAGCCCTCTAAACGTAGGACACAGCATTCTGAGCTTTTAAACAAACACAACTTAAATGATGAGTTAACCAGGAAGCCTTCTGCTTTTAGAATCTGCATGATGAAAAAAAATCCCTGCAAAGACTAGGGCAGTTATGCAACTCTACTGCAAGTAACCTCCTCTGGAATACTGATGAGCAGCTGCTTTGTGTCTCTTAGGTATAAATACTACAATACTTAAGGAAGTAGAACAAGTCAACCACCAGTTAGAAAGAAAAAACCATCAATCACATGAGAATAAAGTGCTTAAGGCTTACAAACTGCTGCCACTGGTGTGTAGTGCCCAACATTTACACATTTGGAATTCTAACCCAGTGTAATGACTCTGAACATTTGATGTCAGGAGTTGCTACGCTACTGAACATCTACAATTATTAAACAGAAGAACTTAATGTTTTCTCCATAAAATTCCTACACAGACTATCAAGTATATGGCAAGCACAGAGAACTGGCAAGGGAACTTGCATTATATTAAGTGACTGGTTAGAAAAGTCTCAAATTAATAAACACTAAAAATAATATTGGGGGGAAGGGAGGAAGGGCACATAACTTATGCTTACTTAAAAACACACCATACAGTGGCAACGACCCCTGGCAATGCTGGTGAGAGGGTCAACTGCACCTCCAAGTTGCCAGATTAGTCATACAACATTGCACACTGAAAACACTACAGCGATTTACATCAGACCAGTAAGAGCTGCTGAAGATAAGATAACCAAATAAAGGTGGAACCCTCACAGCAGTGAAAATACCTGAGACTATCCAAGTTACTGTAGTAGATCTTCTACCTTTTTCCTCATTGCTAAGTTTCTCCATCATTGTCATCTTGCTAAATTAAAGAGACAAGTGTTTTACACTTGCACACATCCTGCTTCTAGAGTGTAACTATCCTACCTTTCTGAAATAGGGGACAAATCATGCTAAATAATTACTAGTAGACTGAATGGCTTACAGACAAGTCAATGGAAAGCTGGTTGCAAACAACTTTCTCTTCCATCAAGCGTGGGTACAGCTATTTTTGGCCATGACTAAATAAGGGAAGAGATAAAAGTCTTAAACACTACACTGTGGAAAACTGAATTAGAAGTGGAAGATTATCTTAGGAAAATAAAGCAAGATTTTGATGATATGAGAACCAAAAGACTTGCTATCAAAAGAATTCAAGCAATGCTGACTATTCAGAGTAGCTGAGGAGAAAAAGAAAAATAGAAGATAGTTCAACATACCCTGCAGACTGACATCTGATTCGTGGTCAGAGTACCAGTCTTGTCAGAACAAATAACTGAGGTGCAACCCAAGGTTTCCACAGAGGGAAGACTTCTAACAATAGCGTTTTTCTTGGCCATTCTCCGGGTTCCAAGAGCCAAGCAGGTGGTAATGACAGCAGGCAGACCCTCAGGAATAGCAGCAACAGCAAGAGCAACAGCAATTTTAAAGTAATAGATAGCACCTCGAATCCAGGAGCCACCATGAACCGGATCATTGAAGTGACCAATGTTTATTATCCACACAGCGATGCAGATAAGCGAGATGACTTTAGACAGCTGCTCTCCAAACTCATCCAGTTTCTGTTGGAGCGGGGTTCTCTCTTGTTCAGTAGCCACCATTTCATCACGAATTTTTCCAATTTCAGTGTTTACTCCTGTTGCAATAACCACTCCCATAGCTTTACCAGCAGCAATATTAGTACCCTAGTGTAAATAAAGAAATGGGAAGAGAAAAATTGTAGTCAATCTATAAACAGGCTTTAGTGATGGGTTTTTTTGTTTGTTTTTAAATTTACCAAAAACCACCTTACAGAAATCCAGACTGTGTTTCAGTTAGGATACGGAAAAAGCAGAAGAGGAAGAGAATGAATGACATTCCCCCAGTATCTGTAAGAGAATACTCCAGTGTACAATTTCTGCTTACACAGTGGGCTCAAAATGAATCAGTATTGATCTATTATAAGCAGCATAGTCAAACTCAGCTGCTGAGTACGCAGGATGTATTTCAACTGGAATCTTGAAGTGTGTTTTTCCTTTATTAGGATTGTATTTTGCCAAATTTCATGTTATTTACTATGAGTAACAGATGTGTTCTGTGGGGCTCCCTGTGTGAACATACTTAACATGAGAAAGAACAGTTAGATTTTTCTAGAAGGAGCCTATTAACAGTAAGAGAATTATTTTGTAACCTGAAAGGCATTCAGTGCTTCCTTTAACCAAATTTGAATAAACTGCTTCATTCCTATATAGAAAGCTAGTTCTCAATTTTAGCCACACAATATCACAATTTGTGTGGGCATTCTTATCACTCTTAAGAACTTTACCTTAGAAAAGTAACGTAGAAGCACTTTAAAATTAGAGTGTGTGCTCCAGCCTTCAAGACTTTCTCATGAAGAACAAAAAAATCAGTTTTGTCATATAAATTGGTTTCAACAAACATTTTCCCTGAGGACAGCTTTTAATCTAAGTTCCTTCTAATTTTTAATTCATTTAGTTCCATTTACATGGAGACACACATACAGATGCATATAGAGAATACAGCAAAGGTCATACAGCTTTTAGGTGAAGACCTGAAGTTCTGCATGTTTTTGTTTGTCAGCTTCAGCATTATTTTACAAAAGTTTTTAAAATTTCAAAAGAAATAACTTACAGAAAAAAGCATGTTCTTCTTGTCTTGGTTTACAGCACGAGGATCAGGCACAGGGTCAGTGTGCTTAATAACAGACACAGATTCACCTAAAATAAAGATAAACAGTCTTAAGAAGAGATTATACATGTATATCTTGAGTCCAGGGAATTGAAAAGTTACAATCCTCGGTCCTAAAATTTTTTAGGATGTCAAAATTCTTTCCTCAAATGATTTTATTTAATTGCTTAAGTGAAACTGGAAATATTTCAGTTGACCCAAAAAGTGAATGGTTGGCTTTTAATGAAAATAGGAAAGGATTTAAGTAAACATTTTATATAGTTAGAATTAACAAAGCAGACACCATGTCTTTTAAGCAACAGTGACTATGAAAAGTGGTCAAACAAGCAGCTGGTACTCCACTCCTCCTTTTAAGGCAGCAACATCTACTGCACGAATTAGATATTTTTTGTGCTTCTCATGCAGTCAAGAGCATTTCTGTTCTCTATATGCACTGCAAGAGGTACATTCTTATTTAAATAATGAGATGCTACCACAGTTATATATCTGTGATGGCAAAACATCACAGTTATACTGGCAGACCTTAAAAAAAAATAAATTAAGTGTCATGCAGCCGTCAGTTTAACTCCTTTAGTCAGAAGTCCTTCAGAGAACACTTCCATAAAAGCCTTAAATATGTAAGTTTCTATAAACACGTCACACAGGTAGAGAAAGGTTTATTTTCTATAAAAACAGATGTTAATTACTACATCAGATTTCACAAGGTGGTAACTCTGACTGAAGCTAAGAGCATACTACTTTTTGTAAGCTTGAAAGACAAAGCTTCCTACTTTTAAAAGCTTTGTTATGAACCATCTTAGACTTCAGTCCTACTTTATTAGTTAGGAGAGTCAAGCATCAACTTAAAATAGGCTGCAAACAGAAAAGGTTTTCTTTAAAAAAATATACCTGTTATTTAAACAAAGACAAGGAATTAGTCCCTTTATATGGGCTTTCAGTGCTTTTCTTCTACTTCAGTTCCAATAGCTTGACAAACACGGAGTGCCTACATTTTCTTACACTAAACATAAGTAAGTTTCATCAGTTCTGTGCTATTCAGGATCTGTACTGAGAAACTCTGAGGCCTGTTTCAAGACAGATTCAAGTTCGAAAATAGGTTTCTTATGAATACTTCACTGTTTTAAAATTCAGGCCTAGTTAACATTAATTTATGCTACCAAAACAGGCAGACAGATCTTCGTGTTCCAGCTGAAAGAAAGCTATTATAGCATGCTTGGTTGATTCCTAGCTTCTTTCCTATATTCAGAAGTACTGCTACTTTGTTTTGTTTTCAACAAATCTGAAAAGTGCTCTAAATATAGCTGCTGAACTTGAGAGCTGGTACCAGAACACACATGAATGTGCGTGCACAGAATTTCAGCAAATTCAGGATTTCAGACTTCACTGTACTGAGTCTTTAGCAAAAACAGTTCAAAAGCTGCTTATTCCAAAAGTTATTATACCTTGTGAAGGAAAATGAGTAACTGTTGCAGAAGATGTTTAGTAAGATTTCTATACTTTCATATTTGAGCAGTGACAAGATGTTCAAACCTAGAAGACTGCATAAACTAGAACAGTTTCATTTTAGTTTCCCCACAAGTCACTACACTGTGTGCCTCTTGGCAGGGGGGGCAGTGAGAAAGACTAAAAAGCATTACAAGCCTCAGTCAGTGAGCGCGTAACGCCAATGATGAAGCAATGCACTCAGCCACTCTGAAGAGCTAAGTTACTAGATCAGAAATTCACTACACTTGAATGCAACATAGTACTTGAATAGCTACAGGCTTGTTTCTAATGGATTATTCTAAACACACTGTGAAAAGGCATTTTCAGTTATGCACATAATTATCCAAAATTCACAGACATTATACCTGTGAGAATTGACTGGTCTACCCTTAGAGTTGTAGATTTGATAGAAGTAATTCTTATATC